AAATTCCCATTTGTGCTGCTGTCTAACTGCTCTTGGCTTTCTTCAGCGTGCCCTTGCGTGGGGTATGTTCTGCAGCTTCACTTCTTGGGATCGACTGCAGAAGCGCTTGTCTTGGCTAAGTAACTTCCTTCGGTTTGCACCATGTGAAGATATTTGGGCAAAAGGGAAAAACAATGAAATTTTAATTACCTTCCTCTCCCCACTGCCCTTTGTAATGAAAAACAGCTGCACTCCTTGGAGATCCAGCTGAGAATAGATCATCACTTCATTTTATTGTTAAATATACAATAAAAAAGAAAAGAAATCAATGATCAATCTCTTGTATTAGAAGAGTGCCGCACAGAGAGCACAGAATAGGTAAAGCACTTATTTCAGAGTCAACAGCAAGAAAGGGTGACTTCTTTCCCTCAGAATTTGCCAACACATTTTGACATGAAAAACCTGGCAAAACAATTTCCTTTCCTTCACGGTTCCCTTCCTCGAATCACCACACTCCACCTAGCCGCAACACAGGATCCTTTAGAGAGGGAAGAGGGAGGACAAAAGGCAAAAGACATTTACGCGGTGCCTTGCAGGAGAAAAAGGCTGGGACAAGTTTGTGCCCTTTTCCGCAGACAGATGTTCTCATCAGCGAGAAAATTAGACCTTGATGACAGATGTAGATGTTTAAATGTCACTCCCTACCACTCCAGCTCAAACAGAAACGAAATAGAAGTTTCTTTTCTTTTTTTGCAGTGATTATCAGGCTGCTTCCCCACTACTTTCCGCATCTACTCAGGAATTTCACACTCCCTGTAACAGGTTTCTCCTGTACCTTTGGAAATAGCTCAGCTCTCCCATGGAAGGCAACCTCCCAAGCACAGGGCGAGGTGCAAGGAGCCCACCCCAGGAAGCATGTTGGGGATTACTGCTTTGTTTTTAATGTGTGACGATGCAAAAGGGGGCACTCAATGGCTGGACACGATAGCCAGGCACGTTTATAATACAATTTTAGCTCTCTGTTGCTGCTTTTGCCCACAGAGGCAAAGCACTGGGCGCAGGATATGTTGCCTCTCTGGAAGATGCACTTGAGCTCCAGTCAAGTCATTAGGCTCCGTGCAGGAGGGAGCGGATGAAATCCAATCGACTGCATTACAGAGGTCACACTCAATGAGCTAACGGTCCCTTCTGGTCTTAAAAAAATCTATTAATCTAATTTAATTCTCTGTTCTCCTCTTCATACCAGAGTCAATTTAAACTCATTTGTATGAAGAGGACACGCTGCAATGGCCTGACACGCCACGCCGTGTCCTGCCTACACGGATTTTGGCTTCCCAGAGCTCTGCTTGGCTCCTCCTGAGCTCCACAGGAGGCTGTTCCTGCACGGTGCTGTGTCCTTTTTTTGGGGGCAAAAACATTTGGGACAAGTTGTGGCTGCCCGACCTTGTTCCACCTCGATCTGGCTGTGTAACTGAGGGGCTCCCAATTCCCCGTCATCTTCCATGGCCACCCATGACCTGCTGCAGTTTTCAGATCGGTCGTTTGGCCGCTTTTCTGCCCTGCTTGGGAGCCTCGAGCAGCTGGCACTTTGCACGAGCACAGAGCTGGGCAGCTCATTACACAAACCAGCCCGCGTGCTCTCTCAGAACAAGGCTGCTTAAGCTGAATCTTGCCTTTTGGTGACATTTGCCTCGAGTCCTGCATCTTATTTGAGCAAAAATCCCTTTACAGCGAGTAAAAATCCCCTTAAGGCAACCTGTCCTAACAGACACGGCCTGCACAACCTTATGCCTCCCAATGGTGAGTACCCCCAGAAAGAAAGTAATTTCAACATAAAACCACTGGGCAGACTTAGGGACTTGAGCTCCTACAGGTGTAGATCCTACAGATCCAGCACTTGTGCCGGCATCCAATTTCTATTATCCTTAGAGCATTAGAGTCCATGGCTCACCGTTGGCCAACACACACCCATGGGCCTGTGCAAGGTGAGGCTCCAAACAGACACTCGGGATTGGTGTACTTTACTCTTAAAAAGCTTTTTCCTCCTCCTGAGAGCACCAAGGACCCCCACTGTTTTTTCCTGGCCGTGTTAGCCAAAGGAACAAGAGCCGGTCTGGCCCAGCAGTGCTGCAGTGAAGAAGTTAATTAAAAGTGTTGAACAAGACTTCAGGAGACGAGTCTTAATAAGTCGTGCTAAAAATACTAGTGTTTCTTTCCAGAGCAAACACAATCAGTGTCAGGCAAACGGGGAGAGCCATCAAGGCCCACGAACCGCCCAAGAGGAGGTATTTTCAGCAGAATGAAAGTTGCTCATTTAACGCAAATAAAAATGTAGGGACAAAACAACCCAGCAGCTTCCCAAACGATGGATCCTTTCCTACAGAAACTCACGTGGAAAGGCCAAGGACACGGTGCAATCCCTTGCTGCCACAGGAGAGGTCCTCAGGCCTTTGTGGTATCTTCCCTCTCCTTCCATGCCCTGGGCTAAGAGCTCAGCCTCTGAGGGACACGCTTGGACCTGAGCTCGCAAAATACCTGCACGAGGAGAAAAACCTGCAGGGGACGTCATGGGGACAACCCGGTGGCCTTGAACTTAACGAGGCTACGATTAATCAAGTCCCCAGACAGATTCCTGAAGCCAAGCTTGCTGCAGAAGAGGAAAAGCTAACAGCCTTCATACACAGTTAATGTCTTTTTTTTTTTTTTAAAGAGCAACTTTAACAGGAGCATCATGGTAAGAGCGGGGACTGAAGGTCTATCAAGGCCCAAGAGCACCTCTCATTTCCCAGTCCTACTGGGAGCAGCACTTTTTTATTTAGGAGGACGGAGCAAGCACATATTTATTCGTCCTGGCGAAGCACTGAAGATACTCCCGCTGCGCTAGCCAAACAGCATTAATATTTATGAAGAGTTGCACAAAGGGAGTGTTTGAAAGCTGAGGAGTCTTGCACTTTTTAAGAATTCTCCCGAGAAGGTAAGGGAAAGGGTGCAAACTGCAGCCTTCCTGACAAAAGGCAGGAAATCTCTACTTATGCGAAGGCGTCCTGCAGCACGAGACCGTGTTAGCATTTCTAGTCAAACAATGTTTTCTAAAAAGGGAAATAATTTTTTTTTTTAAAAAAGGATAAAAATGAAGAGATGTGCAAGGCTTCAAAATGGGGAATGTGTGATGCGTGCACTCTGGGCTGCAGCACCTCTCCGGAGGGAAAATCTCCTGTCCTTCTAAGCTCAAGTACCAGCTGGCCACCAAATGCAGCCTGAGATGCCGGCTTGGTCATAGAGATGAAGAGTCTCCACGTTGCTCTCAACTTGGGTCCTTCTACACGAATAACAGAGAGGGGCTGAAATATTTATAGACTAACTTTTGACTGTTAGCTGGAGACTAACTATGCATCACAGGACGTGCATATATGGGAAAAGAACGGAGGATAAAGGCTGCTCATGGTCCAACTCAGTGGAGTTGGGTGCAAGGGCCAACCTCCAGCCACGGAGCCCAACCACGAGCTGACACTGTAAGCAGGGATGAGGAACGGGAGTGGGATGCTTGGTAGGATAGGAGGAAAGCCAAGAGGAAAGCAGCTGGAAGATAAAAACGCAGCAAAAGCTGCCATTAAGAGCTTGGTAGATACCTAAAAATGCTTTGATTTGCATTTGCTTTTGCTTTGCCAGCAGGACAAGCTGTCCCAACACGTTCAGCTGCCCTGACTCCAACTTTGGAGATGCCCAACACGTCTCAGCTCAGTGGGTTCTTGAGGCAAAAGCAATTTGTATCTGGTGCAATAGTGGGATTTAGGAAAGAAGTGGCCCTTGAGATGCCTTTCCCGGCAAGGACGGAGCGCGTTGAAGGTGGATGGTGCCGCGAGACCAGTATCGGCCACCTACGAGCACGTGACAGCTTGGAAGCGCTCGAGACTCTCGGCCCACTATTACTCAGCTGTCAACGGGAAAGGCCTCAGATTTATGATGCGAAAATTACATTTTAACGAGGTGTCATATGTGTTTAAAGTTCTTATTCATCACCGCGCCGCCACATCTTTTACCCGCGACACAAATGCGCTTAATTAGCATATTATAAGGACAGCGGGTTCACCTTATCTGCATTGTAAAAGCGCTTTAGGACAAAGAAAGAAACAAAGGAAAGGGAAAAAAAAACCCTTTGCTGAAATTCAATGGTTGCCATCACGTGTCAAGAGAGCATCCTGCAATATTGAATACGAGCGCGGAGGATCAAAGTTGGACATGTAACAGCGATGGAGATGGTGGCTCCGTATCGCTTCTCACTGCACTACTATGAAATATATGAGAGGCACTTAAGGGTATAGAGGCTGTCTGAGAAGTGCCATAGGGGATAGTTGTCCTTCTTAGCTGCAAGGGCATATTTATTTAACTTTGTATGGCTATTAAATACTCAATATTGTAATACCTGCTCTCCCGAGCATTATTTAAGTGGGAAGACCAAAGCATTTCCTTAAAAGTTGCAAGTCTGTGTTTCCTAGGCAGGTCTCAAAAAATCACCCACCTCCACTCTTGGGGGATGCAGCAAGAGCCTTTATGGAGCCACCTTTTTGGGGACAAAATCCAACGTCTGGAGAAGCAAAAATGCTCATTTCTATGCAGCAGCATAACAGAAAAAGCTATTGGAGGGGGTTGTTTTTTGGAGAGGAGGATTTGTTGGCATTTGCTTGTATTTGTTTACCAAGACAGTCTCACAAGAGGGCTATGATTAAAACGAGCAGTGCTGGTGAATATTAAGGTGGATTAGGTTGCAGAAGGGTTTTCACTCTTGTCGGTACAACCTTCGGGTCTCTGCTCTCAACCCCTAGAAGTTGGAAGACCTCCGAGGTCCAGACATCCCTCTCTTAGAGGAAGTGTTATAATATTTAGACTTGTGATTTGAGCGAAATGCCTTTTTTTTTTTTTAAAAAAAGAGCAACTTTAAAGGAAAAAGAAGTCCTTTAAAGGATTTTTTCCTTTAAAGGAAAAGACAAAAAACAAGTCTGACTCCGTATTCCAACCCTTACCTGCTCTGCTGTCCAGCGGTCCGAAATCCAAGGAATACTTCACCACGTGGTAGTTGTTCCACACGTACAGGAGGTTGTCCCGGGGATTGTAATCCACGGCAGCGATGTACTGATAGGAGTTGGGAAAGGGCACGTCCACCATGCTGTCCTTGCTCTGGTCCGTGTTGTATATGTAGTCTATTTTATTCCCCGTGGCTTCGTTGTCGTCGTCCTCGTACACCGACTTCACCACGTAGAGGATGCCGCAGATCATGAAGGCGTTGGAGGCCGACCTCTTGTCGTAGGCCGTGTCCCACGTGCCCTCGATGCGCAGCGTGTACGGGTTCAGCTGGCTGATGACGATCTTGCCGTTGTTCTGCTCCGTCGCGTAGATCACCCACAGCCCATTCTCATCCACGGCCAGGTCGATGTCCGACTTGCCGCCCCAGCGGTAGGGCGACGTGTCGTGGTAGTTGGCGTTGGCGATGATGGCCTCGCCGCTCTTGATCCGGGTGCGCAGGTCGAACTTGACGATGTTCCTGGTGCGCTCCTTGTTGAAGAAGAGGGCGCCGTCGTACACCACGAAGCCCGTGCCGTCCACGCGGTGCGGCAGCTTGTAGGTGGTGGTGGGCCTGCCGGCGATGAAGTCGTCCTTGGAGGAGTACTCCGTGAGCGTGTCCGTGCGGTACGGCGTCCAGGGCATGTAGTAGATCTTGTCCGATGCCTGCAGAGGGTCCTTGCACCAAGCCCCGGACTGGTGGTCCGACTCGAACAAGTGCTCGCTCTGGTAAACTCCTTTGAGCAGGCCGGGGCAAAGGAAAACTGCCGGGAGGGAGGGGAAAAGAGAGAGAATTTTAGACAGAGGTCCCGGCGTTATCGGCAGCTCGGGGCTGGGAGACTGGGGGGCGGCACAACTTCTAAATTATCGTGGCTCTGCAGCGGAGATGGGTCGAGATCCAAAGCAGCGCCCGAGCGATGCCCGGCAGCTCCCGTCCCACTGGCCACGCGGCTAGAACAACGCCAGCTCCGCCAAATTGATCGGATTTGGGGATTTTTGTGTGCTTAATCCACTGATTTTGGTTCCTCGCCTCGGCACCTTCCCCACTTCTTTGTACTTACTCGGCCCGTTCGCCCCCATGCCCTCCGACGGCCCCACGCGCCCCCACGGGCTCGCTGGGCTCGGGCTGCCAGAACGTGTTTGCGCAGTGAGCGCGGAGCTACCCGGTGGCAGGGGGACAATCCCGGGGCTCTGCTCCGCACGGCTGTTTCCAACCGTCCCCCCAGAAGAGTGGCCTGGAAATGGAAATAAGAGAACCAAACTCCCCCCGCTGCGGCCCAAGCGGTATTAAATACTTAACGGGTACCGAGAGCAAAGCAGAGGTGGATCCCCCAGCACCTCGGAGGAGTATTTAAAGCAAATGGGAAAGCAGGGGCAGGGGAGAGAGGAAAACCCAACTACGGGCCCAGTGGTTTAACTAGAAATGAAGCTTCTGGAGCCGCTACGGGACACACACAGCATGCAGGCCACATGACTGGAAATGAATGATGGATGACCGCTGAAAGGAAAAGAAAAGGAAGGAAGGAGAGAAGGAAGGAGAAGAGTCAAGGCTGCTCGGAGAGGAACCCAAGGTCTGGATTTTAATCAGTTAAAAAAATAAAAAATAAATGTCCTGTTAAATATAGTAGGAATTCAAACTTAATAAATAAATAAATAAAACACATGTACCTTCTACTGTTACATGAGAGAGGAGCACAGAGGGGCGGCTGGACTGACCGGGGGGCTTTGCTGCTCAGACTTCGGAGTGGGGCCGTGTCAAGTGGCGGGACATGCCCGGCTTTGTGGGGACGGAGACGGCCGGCACGGCGGCCGCGCGGGGCTACTACCCAAATGCATCCCCGACCTCCAGGGCAGCCCGTTCTTGTAGAAACCCCAGCAATTGAAGGGATTTAGGCAGCAGAAATAGGAACAGAAGTGATTTAGCAGCTGGTGTAGGAGCACGTGGCTCCAGCGGAGCCCAAGCAACCCCCCGCAGCAGCCACCACGGCAGCGCTGCGTCCAAGAGGCCTTTACAGCAGAGATGTACATATGCACATATATATATTTACACATATGTGTGTGCATATGTGTGTATACACACACATACATATGTATATACGCACGCGTATGTAATGCTCTCCCAAATTTTTTGGGGCTGGAAAGGAGGGCAATGGTCTAAACCTCTAAAGAACAATTTAAGGTAAGAAAGCGGCACTGGCAACGCTTCTCAGCGAAAAAAAAAAGAGTTATCTAGTGAAGTTGAGCAGCAGAGATACTGAATAAACTTTTAATAACAACAAAAAAAAAGGAGTGAGAATTAATGACAAGTATTTCAACTAAAACGTTAAGCTGTTAAATAACTTAGCCTATAACATAAGTTTTATATATATATATATATATAATTTGAAAGGTATTTAATTACCTTTTTGTTCCACTTCTATTGTAGAGAGAGAAGTAAAGAGAGAAAGGAGAAAAGAGAATAGATTAATGGTACTGTATTGGCCAGTTACTTTTCTTTATCTCTTTCATACAAAAAGGAAGTTTTATTAACTTACTGCACTTACTATTACAGTACGTGAACATTTTTTCTACATATATAAAGCCCTTCCTCTCATATACCCTGGAAAAAATATGCAGACAAGCTGAACAAAATACAGGTATATTTTAACTTCACAAAAGTCTTTAAGACACTCTTGACTTGGGACATCCAAAACCCCCTGACATTTTTGAGAAACTTCATCACGAGCTGCTTTTGGATCAGGCTTTTTTAGAGCAAACCCAAATACTCCTACACTGAAACAGGACAGACCCAGACTTATGTGTGGATTCAATCCTTCCAGGGAGAAGCTTTATAAACGGGTCAGCTCTGTATCTTTAGCCCAAATCCTGCAGGAAGCCAGGGCAATGTGGGAAAATACTGCTTTATGTGGGAAAATACTCCCCTGGGATGCTAATAGGGAACGTAGGAGACGGACTCAGTTCTGTGCTTTGAAGAGCAACCTGCCTTAGCAGCACCTGGAAAAAAAAAACGGTACATCCGTAGCAAAATGCCCCCAAAACTTGTTAATGAGTGAAAAGTATCTACGGCGCTACCATCGCTCGCCCCACACGGAGCTGCATCCATGTCCACCTGCAGCTCCCCGCGCGGGTGCAAGCGGGGCCAGCCCCAAAATGAGCGTTTCCAAAATGAAATAGCCTCGTTGGAAACAAAAAACCACCCCCAAACCCAAGAAGCGATGCAGGGAAATGGCGCAAATAAAGTAACTAAACGCTCTTGAACCACGGGGTTGAGCCTCTGAAAAGTCATTTCTCGTTGCTGTCACAATTAACACCTGAACTTGCGTGGTAAAAATGGGGGTAGCAAAAAGGCAATTGCAAAAGTAGATAAAAAGTTGGGTCTTCCACTATGGCACCTTGCTTTTTCAGCTCAGAGGCCTGTGACTTGACTGATAATTTCCCCTAGCCTGCTCCATAATTAGCATTTTCCACACAAATTCAGTGCCTTGTTCGCTGAAAAAGGCAAAGATCGTCTCCCTCACTCCGTTTCCAAATTATATTTTCCTTGTAATACCCCTCCACCAGCTATCCAAAGTGCTCTCCAAGTACCTTGCGTTACGGCGACTTCATGCAGCACGTTTCCACATTTATCCCCTTCTAATTAATTTCAGAGCGAAGTGCAGAGATTGGAAATGCCAATAATCCATAAACACTTCCCCAAACCGCAACCTAAATTAGATCTTTAACTATGGTTATCTATAGGAGCTGCAGAAATCAAAGCTGTCTTTTTTCTGCAAGACTTTTTTTTTTTTTAAGATTTCCATTTCTCTGATGAATTCGCAAAACCTTTCAAATCATTAATCCGAGCTTCCTTAAAAAGTCAGTGCTTTCAGTCTGCTTTTTAATGCGTAATAACTACATTTAATAGCTGCTCACTAAAATAATTAATGTTGCCACTCAAGTCAGCTTAGCTTAGAGTCATCGGGACCCAGGAAACCACTAACATGCAATAACTCTCGTCTGCTGGAGGTTTCTGCAAGACGAGAAAAGTTAAGGTTTCCTAAAAACAAAAGTTGCTTTGTGCATTACATACCAAACACCAGACTCCTTGGGGAAGAAAACATTTTCCTGTTAGATGTCTCTATAACGAACGACAGGCACCAGAGGCCCTAACCTTCAAACGGGCTATCCCCCAAACCCAAGAAATAACAAATGTTTTTCCCCGGGACTATCCCCCGGAGGCTAATTTTCCAGGAGCTGAAACACGACGTCTTCATCTCCTCGCTTAAGGTGCCAAAACGCACACAAAATTCGCCTTTGAATATTTTGTTAAAGGAAAAGGAAAAACAAAAAAGATACAAAATTACAGAAAGGCAATGGCATTTCTGGGTTCTGACTTTGGGGTCAGAGAAGGAAGCGAGTGCTCCACGCCTGGCCCTGAAGGGTTGATGCCTTTTTGCCGAGCACGGATCCGTGAGCTGCTTCTCAGCAGTGCTGCCACCGTTCAGATCCCAAGTCTCTCTCTTAACCATCCCGATTCTTCCTTTCTCCTGCTCCTCTGGTAATATCTTAGCTGGTGGCCACAGCGACCCTTCATCAGCGCCCACGGATGCTGACCACGGCCGAGCCCCACTTCGAAACATGCAGTGCCAGAGGCAAGCGAGGTCTGCGACGGCGCTGGCCATCACCAAGACCCAAATGTTTCTGCATGACGTAGAGGTGGCCCAAGAGGTCCTGAGGTGGTCCAAGAGGCCCTGGAGGGCCTGCTCCACCACGCAAGTCGAATGAGGACTTATTTCATGCCCAATTCCCTGCGCTGTCTACTTGGCCTGGGATCACTCAGAAACAGACCAGCAAAAAGCCTGGAAAAACCAACAGCAAAAGAGCCATTTTGGAGACCTTGACCTTGCCTAGTGAATTCTCATCTTGCACGTGAGCGCAAAATGGGGTCATCTTCTGCTTGGTCATTCGGTGCCTCCACAACCAGTTGTGTTACCCAGACCCAGACAACCGTCCCGCTTCCTCCTCCTTCCATGGGATGCCAAAAGCACTGCAAGATCCCTTGGCAACGAGGCAAACACAGCTAATTCGGCATAATTATTATTTGCATAGTTATCTACACCTTCCTTGCCAGATTAATTGCCAGCCCTCCTTGTTTGGCTTTAGGAGGAGCAAAAGCCTGGAGTTCATTAAAAATGTGTCCTCGTCCAGGCATGGGATAAATTTGGGATGTGAAGAACATGCCAGAGCCGTCAAGGCAAACCATTAGGTATCTCAGCATAAGCAGGAAGGGAAAAATGTCTCAGGACTGGGGGGATCTGCTAAATTCAAGCACTGTGTCCTTTGGTCAGATTTCTCTCCAAACAGGAATAAACTCTTTGTCACGCTGCCAGCTACGAGCCGAGCGATAAAATAATGGATTCCACCGGACCGAACGAGGCCAATCGCGACTGCCAAGGCATGTCTGCGCGGCGAGGAGCGAGCGAAATCTGATTCTCTTTGGAGAAAACATTAATTCTTTTGTTTCTGAAAGGCCCTTTGCTCGGCACTAAGCCCTGGCAGTTATGTCCTGCCTGCGAGCACCGCCCGCGTTCCCTGCCCGACGGCGAGGCGCGTTGCCGACGCCGGCTGCCGTGGCCGGGCTTCCTCCGGTGCTCTCGGGAGGTGGGACGCTGCCTCCTTCCCACGCTCGGGAATGCCGCAAGGACCGCGGCTTGGAGGGATCCACTGCCCCTCTCCGCAGCACTATTCTGAGCCCGGGGGCTGCAGTGCGTCCGCCTACTCGAAATGCGAAATGCAAAACCAAAGGACAAAGCAACACATTTGCTTTCCCCCTCTCCAAGCTGGGGAACACCTAGGAGGGAGCTGGAGAAGCCGGAATGTGTTGGAGAGGAATTGTGGAGCGCTTCCGAGCCACAGGATTTAGCTCCCTCCTGCTCCAGTCTACGGCTCTGAAGGATGACATTATATTTTATCCTTCTTTTCTCATGAATAAGTATCGTTATAAAGCAGGAAGCTCGCTGCAATGAACTGTCACTTTAAAGGAATACATCGGAGACCTTTAACTTGCGCTGCTATACTCACTGAAGTAAAAATATTATTCTGCTTGGGAGAACCACAAATTATAGCAATAAAATATATGTGGTGAATACGTAGAAATTTGGTACTATTTGCAGGGAACTGAGTATTAGGCACCACTAAGACCTATCATTTCTGCCATTAATGGAAAAAAGAGAGACTATTTTATTCCTAATTTAAAGCATATGAATTTATGATGGTTCAGAGAAGCCTTTTGTGTGCTTTTGCAACAGCTTAACTTCTCATATATTATGTATCCTGAAATCAGGATCCCTGAGCCCTTGCACAATATTTACTGGTGCGCATTATTGGAGCGGTCAGTGTGTGGTGCCCTCTCTCTATTTCACAGTCAACGCAGCATTTTCACCCCGGCATCGAGAGATTAAAACATTTCACAAAACAGGGGGAAGATATATATGCATGTGACAACGAAACAGGCTGGCCTTGCTATGAGGTAATTCCATAAATCTGTCTGCTGCGCCGAGCGTTTATCTAAAACCGCACTTACTTGTCTCGCGAAATTCAAACTGGGGAAAGAAATCAGGGCGCAGCTCTGTTTTCAGCAACCTGAAAATAGAAAACAGGGCTAGGAGGGCCCCTGCGAGGCCCAAGGGGCTGCTGTGGAGGCCAAGGCTCCGCCTGGTAGGTGCTGGCCCTCTCTTGAAACCTCTCCTGGTCGACTCGACTAGGTGAGGATATAAACCCAAGATTGCCGGCGGTCACCGGCCTCCTCTACCTACCGTGACGGTGCCAAAAAACCACCAAACGGGCCCAAAATGTGCAATCAAATAGTACAAAGCACCTTTATCAGCCGTGATATCGTGCGAGCGCCCCGCCCGTGAGTGCACTATCCCAATTCAAGCCCCAGCACCGCTCACAGTGTCCCTCGGGAGAGCCTTCTGGAGACGTGGCTTTCCACAAAACTATTCAATAACCATTGGGAGGCCTTTTGAGAAGAGCTGCACCAGCAAAGAGCTCTCTCGGGTCACCGAGGCCTGAGGAGAAGAGGCAATAACTGGCAAGAGCTGGAGGTTAAACAATTTAAGAAGCCTTACAGATACCATTTTCAAGGAAAATGCCCTAGAGACCACACAACAACACACAGCTGAACCGCTGGTCACCAGGGCCCATCACTACCACAGCCTCCTCTCTGACAGGTAGTAATTCCCCACAAGTAAAAACAGGAAGATGACAGGAACCCATGGGGCTAGCAAGTTGTATTTCCCCTGGATGATGATAAAATTTGGCTCCTGCTTGGGCACAGGCCAACAAAGGTTTAATTAATCGCTTGGCCAGAGCAGTCTAATGAAAGCTGATGAAGCTACGTGTCTGCAGCACAACTCGGCGGTGAGAGCAACGCCG